GTGTTCTGATCTTTTTGTTTCCTTCTTAGCTTTCTTATTGTCTCTTTTGATTGGTGTGTAAATGTGGTTTACTTCTATGTGTCTATTGATGGTTGATGTGTCTAAGTGCCAAGCTTCCAGGAATTCACTAGCATTTTTGGATTTGGCTTGGTCTATGATGCTCACAGTTTCCCAGTTGAAACTGTGGTTGAGTCTGTCCATGTGTTGTGAGATTAAGGAGTTTTCGTCGTGTCTTCTGACTGCTATTTGGTGTTCAGGGATACACTCTGCTAGTCTTCTGCCAGTCTGTCCTACATAGTGGCTATTACAGTCTTTATATTATATGTTGTAGATGGCTCTGTTGTTTTCTTCTTGGGCTCCTGGGTCTTTCAAAAGACAAGCAGAAGCACTGACCAGGGCCACCCAAGCTAGGAATGGCACAACTGGGCACATGATGGATCTGTTCAAAGGCACTCTTGGTCATTGCTGCTGCCTGGTGTTCCAGCAGGAGCCAAGAGTCTAAAAGAACCCCTAAATTGCATACCAGTTCTGACTGGGGAATATAATCCAATCCTGAACTGAAAGAAGAGAATCTCCAGAATTAGGAGACCTCAAAACCCACAGCCACTCGATCATGCATTGAGCTGAAGCCTCTTCTTCCTCATTCAGCCCCCCACAGCCTCCAGTACTGGGAAAGAACCAGTGTCACTTAGTCAACCTAGGATAGTGATAGGTAGATGGGCATTATCATCATATTGATGATACCTGACCTCATACCAGTGAGTGACTTCCCAGTGATTTAATGTAAATGTTAAATAAGATCAAGGAAAAAGTAGGCCCTAAGGGGGACTGGGCTTGATCTCTCCTCCCCCACTATCACTGACTAGACCCACTGTACCTCCCACTCCTAAACCTTGAAATTGGTCCAGGAGAATGCCAGGCTCAATGGTATCAAAAGCTTTTTTTCTTTTCTTTTTTTCTTTTTCCCTATTCTGATCTTTTTAGTTCTGTAGCTGAATGCTTTAAATGTTACTCATAATGAATCCTATTCAGTTTTATTGGGCTTATTAATCAGTTTTATGGGCTTGTGCAGTAGGTGCTATATATATTAGTGGCTTTTCTTTTTTTCCCTTTCTTTTTGTATAAGATACATTATTAAACAATTAGGTGGTACTCTTTCAGGGTGGAGGTTGGGAATTGGTTCAGAAAGATGTGTTGCTGATTTGTGTGTGTGTGTAGCATTTTGGAGCTGGAGCAAAGGAGATCTAAGTTAAGATCTTCACTTAACTGTGGAACTTACTGAGCGACTCTGGTCACATCTTCCCAGCCTGAAAACAGTTGTACTAGAGAAAAATGAATAAGTCTCCCCAGAGATCCTTACTAGAAGAATGAGATGTAAAGAAAATAAAACCACTGTGGTCTTAAAAAGATCTGAGGTAGCTTTGTAATGAGAGAGTGCATAAGGATAAAATACTTTTTAGTGGTGGGCAGTCAGTGTTCCATATGTTAGATTTCTGAAACAGAAATTATACTGTATTTCATATTAATATTTCCATACTGAACATGCTAATGCATGCCTTTTTTGTGTATGTGATACAGTGTCTTAAGCTGTATATCTCTGCATGCTTCAAGAAAAGGGCTCAGTTGAACAGAATGGTACTTTTTTTTTTAATAGAACAAATCATTTTACATGCGTTCTATAGTTGATTCTCTGAAAGCTTACAGATTATAAATGTTCTCTTTTTTATA